GTATCCTTTAAATTTGTCCATTAGAATAGTTAACAGATCAACTGTATGCTTAGCTGCTTGCCCGCAGTTCAGTTTTAGTAAACACAATTACTTCTGGACTTTTTTTTTCTAGAAAGTGCACTCGAAAAACAAAATATCATTTGCTGCACGGTTTTTTCCCAACTTCCAGTAGAGTGGGTGGCTTAGCAGCACTTGAAGGAGGGCATGATGCTTGGGATGGCAAATATCCTGCGGGTCTGACTACAGCACCATCTGTTCCTTACCAGCCTTATGTTTCATCTCAGTAATGTTTTTATATCTCAAATTTCAAATGACGTGCAGGTAGAAGAGTGCAGACAGCACACAGACATATAGATTGTTTTTCTGATTCCCAATCCTATATTATAAAACAATTTCTTTTGGATCCCAATGCAGTCCTACTACCATCTGCCCTCAAAGAACAGATAACATCATTTTACTAATGACACCATAATATTACATGTGTCAGGAAAGCTAAAGGAACCTTAACCACTTACCCTCCAGGGGATTTACCCCCCCCCCCCTTCCTGACCAGGCCATTTCTTGCGTTACGGGCGCAGCGTCATTTTGACTGACAATTGCGCGGTCATGCAACACTGCATCCAAATGAAATTTACGTCCTTTTTTCCCATGAATTGAGCTTTCTTACAGTGGTATTTGATCGCCTCTGTGGTTTTTTATTTTTTGCGCTATAAAAAAAAAAGACTGACAATTTTGAGAAAAAACAATATTATTGACTTTTTGCTAATTAGACATGTCCAGTAAAAAAATTTAAAAAATCAAATTTCATTATAAATTTAGGCCAAAATGTATTCTGCGACATGTCTTTACTAAAAAAAATCCCAATACATGTAAATTAATTTGTTTTACGTGAAAGGTATAGCGTTCATCATGGTGGTACAGATACTTTTTTTCTAATAGGAATTTTTTTTTCTACTAGTAATGGCGGCGATCGGCGACTTATAGCGGGACTGCAGGACTGTGGCGGACATTCTGACACTGGGGAGAACTGACTTGGTGTCACTGACATCCACAATGACACCAATACAGTGATCAGTACTAAGAAAAAGCACTGACACTGTACTAATGGCAAAGGGCAGGAAGGGGTTAACATGAGGCTTGATCAAAGGGATAACTGTGTGCTGGGAGTGTTTTACTAGGGGGCTGTGTGTGTTGGTGTTTCACTGTAAGCACACTGCTCTGGATGGCTGTGCTGTGCACAGCCATCCAGAGCAGTGTTCCCGAGCTGACAGGGAGGAGAACTGTTAGTAAACAAAAAACTGTCCTCCTCCCCATCGGAGATTCTTGGTAATCACTGGATGGCAGGTAGGCGGCTTGTGCGCCCCCTACCGGGAAATGCGAAATCGTGTATATATACGTGATTTTGCGCACCGGTGCCACCCTGTAGCAGTATTTCTGCTATTGGGCGGTCGGGAAGTGGCTAAAGTGGTTTAGGTTATGCGGCCATCTTATTCATATAAAGATTAGTAGGGATGATTTTGATGATACCATGTACACAAATGCTTTTTATGAATCTACAGTATTTTATTACATTTATTGATAAAAGTCATGATCCATCCCTGACATGCATTGTTTTATTATTTAACACAAATTAGAAAACCAATAATGTGGTCAAACATTTCCTATATTAATGTGTTCACTTGGGGATATGTGTCAGTATATTCTCTCACCTGACATTAAAGTCGACCATTTATTAGAACAGTATTACACCCAAAAGTAAGCATTTATTGCATTTCTTAGATGTGATGGCTGCATTTGTTTTCTAATAAAACAAAATATATAATATAATCTTGCGCGTTTCTATGGATAACAATTACCCTCCTCCTAAAATTACCTCAGTGTGAATATAAAATTTATAATCAATTTATTGGTTATTCCAAAAGTAAAATAGCCGCTCTTGCACATAAACCTTTATCTCATATCAGGCATGACTAGTAAACACAGTGACCAGTGCAGCGCTACAATATACAGTGGAATCACAAACTTATATATAAAAAAATGTCCAATCGTCTTCATTAGAATACTTCCATCCTTCTGCAACCATCAGCTGCTCCAAAGCATAAAGTGCAATTATTCCACCACCAGATGTCTGCTCACCTCCAGCAGTGTGACCTCACATTATATTATGTTTGTCTAACTACGCTTTTGGTCCCAAGTCGGACACTGAAGATCACCTTGATGGATTCTAGTTATGGTTCGCAACTTGTCGGGAATACAACTTGCGCCATCACATCACCTCATAAACAAAAGACTCCACTAAACTCCATTAAACAAATTGCGCACTCACATGTAAAAGGTCCCAACCGCACCAGGTACAATCAGCCTCTGATTATATAAATTACTCTGTGATCTATGGAACTGTGCCGTGAGGAGTCAGCTGTGATGGGACTTAAGCAGTGGATCATTGAAAATCATTCAGTATCACCTTACCAACCGCTCCTCTTCTGCCACACCCCCTCTGTCATTCCCTCCACTGGCTTCCGATTGCCGAACGCATTAAATTCAAACTACTAACACTGACCTACAAAGCCATTCATAACGCTGCCCAAAACTACCTCACCAACCTGATACCCAAATACCACCCAACCCGTACTCTTCTCTCCTCACAAGACCTCCTACTTTCTAGCTCCCTGGTCTCCTCCTCCCATGTCCGACTGTAGGACTTCTCCAGGACTTCCCACATCCTCTGCAACTCACTACCCCAATCCATCAGACTGTCACCTACCCTCCTCACCTTTAGGTGCACCCTGAATCCCATCTCTTCAGGGAAGCCTACTCCACCCTCACCTAACAGCCGATCTCCTCCACGTCTCCTACCACTCCATCCCCCACAGCCACTTCCTCCTTGTCAAGGACCTACCTTTTCCCAGAGGTTATGCTGCTCCATGTGCTGGCATCAATCTTGGGTTTCTGCAAAGCATGGTGGGAGCCTTGTATGCTTTCAGGCCTCTGCTGCCCATCCCCCAGAGGGGTGTGGTTGAGCACATTTAAGCCTGTTGTCTGCACTTGCTCTTTGCATTCGTGTCCTGTATGATAGTGTTGTTGCAAGCTCTTATTCTACTCTCGTGGCTCTCCTGGAAACTGACTCGGCTTTGTCTAAGACTACTCTCAGCCTTATCCCTTTATCTGACCTCCCGTTGCTGAACCCGGCTTGTGACCTGTGTATTCTTGTCTACCGTTCTGTACTGTCTGTCCCGCTGTTATCGACCCGGCCCTGTCTGACCACGCTATTGCTCTTATCTGGTTCCTACCAGCTATACGCCATTGGCGGCGGCCATTACCGCAGCTGGGGTTACTCGGGGGCCGCCCTGGTTCCTGGCTGCGTCAAGTCCATCCCCCACCATCAGGGGCCCTGGTGAAGGGCAGCCTGGGGCTTAGACTCCGCACCCTGAGGGACTCCGGTCTGTGGGTGGTGGTTGTCGTCAGTCGGTGCAAGACCCTGCCATTAGGCCTGCCTGTCCTTGACACTCCTGTATCACTATCCCCCCCTCCTAGATTGTAAGCTCGAAAGAGCAGGGCCCTCGAACCCCTCGTGTATTGTTTTGCTACTGTATTGTCTCATGTACTGTCCCCCACTATAAAGTACAGCGCTGAGCAAACCTTTTGGCGCTATATAAACACTGTATAATAATAATAATAATAATAATAAATATCAATCAGTAAACACCGCTGATGCCGTTACCATTGCCAACTCCATAGAGTGTCGTGATGTCATCCAAAGCTCCAACCCCATAACTGGAATCCATCAAGTTGATCTTCAGTGTCCGACTTGGGATTTACAGAGTTTAGTGGATTCTTTTGTTTATGAGGTGATGTGATGGCGCAAGTTGTATTCTGGACAAGTTGCGAACCATAACTAGAATCCATCAAGGTGATCTTCAGTGTCCGACTTGGGACCAAAAGCGTAGTTAGACCAATACTATTCTTTCGAGCAGCTGATGGTTGCAGAAGGATGGAAGTATTCTAATGAAGACAAATGGACTTTTTTTATATATAAGTTTGTGATTCCACTGTATATTGTAGCGCTGCACTGGTCACTGTGTTTACTAGTCATGCCTGATATGAGATAAAGGTTTATGTGCAAGAGCGGCTATTTTACTTTTGACTGACAATGGTGCTGTTTAAAGGTTCTCCTGTGCTCATTCATCCAAAGAGGGGGCGCTTTAATACAGGAGGTATGTCACCAGGTGAAAACAGAGGGGAAAAGTCTAAAAAAATGAAAACTAATGCAGCCACCACATCTAATGATTGGTAAGCTGCAATATATTACATGTTGGGTTTTGGGTTTATTACAGTGTTAACTGTACTCTGCATGAATAATATCCTTACAAATACAGTTATCATTTCAAAAGCAGTTCTTGAGTTCTGCTTACCCTAGGCTCACACCTAAGCGTTTTCCGCAGTGTTTTTCAGAAAGGCACTACAGTCCATTTAACATGATTTCCTATGGGACATGTTTACATCTCCACGTTTTCACCCGGTGCATTTTATGGAAAGGGTCAGGGACTTTTTTGAACGCAAAAAGTTGCATTTTTGGTTCTATAGACTTCAATGGAAACGGTGCACAAAAGCATGTAGTGCGTTTTTATGCGTTTTTATTGCATTTCCTATGCCTTTTTTTTGTGTTTTGTATTTTAAATCTGCCTAGCAACAAGAAAAATAATTAAAAAAAAATACAAAATTGCAAAACGCATCAAAACAATGGCAGAAACGCAAGTGCAAAAATGAGCAATTCAAAACGCACCGCAGAAACGGATCAAATGCAAACTGCATAGGTGTGAAGGGATTCCTAGTACAAACTCCAGGCCGAACATTTAAAAAAACTATGTGAGCAAGAGACTTATAGGATCTATATCTTGGATACGTTGACTCCAATGGGCCTTAATGAGGAGATAGAAATAAATACCTTTATATGAATGTCTGCTCTGGTAGCATAGACAAAATCTTTTTTTGCCCTGTACCAGGACTGACCATTTGGAAACTCGGGCACTGCCCGAGGGCCTGGGGTCAGTAGGGAGCTCCATGAGATGCCCCTGGTACCTTTTTCATAGGCTTTTTTGAGTTTGGGCAAGGACACAGGGACCCCATGATCCCCTATTGCTCGGAGGCCCCATGAGTTGTCAGTCCGCCCCTACCCCGTATTAATTTGTGAACAATAGTTCCTTCTCCATCATAGAGACATATGAACATGGTTTGTAATATAACTTACCATTCCAGCAACATAGTAGATACAATTCCTGAATATAAGTCCTCTCTCTGTTCATGAGAACGGACGAACACTGTTTTTTGCATACATAAATCTGAATATGCACATATTATATATAAATTAGAACATAATATAACAATGAGAACATGTATTTAATAATATTTTTACATTCGTTTTTATTATTTAATTTTAATTCTTCTTTGTAGGGATAGAGGTATGTCCATTGCCGGATTCTATAATCGCAGCATATCCTGTTCTATATTTGTATTGTATCCTTTTTATATTTGCACTACATCTTTTTAAAATCCATATCTCCCTTTCTTAATGTATATATCCTTTTGTGTATACGTATGCTATATTGCTATTTTAGATAAGTGAAGCACCTTGATAGAATATATAACTGTTTATGTACTTGCTCTGTGTGTTTCCAGTGATCCCCTTGATGTTTTTCATCATGTTAAGACCGCCTTTGCCCCACTCGCACAGGCCCTTGCGCCAATATATAAGGAGATTGTCCCGTTAGCCTATCAGGTTTGATAAAGGAACTGATGGGAACTCTGAAACGCGTCACCTAGACTACGAAACGCGTCACCTAGACTACAAAGGCTATGGATCTTCCCTCCCCTGCCACCACTCTTGATCATGAGTTCTACGGTGGTCCTTGACATCACGTTCGGTTTTGCGTCGCAGGAGGATTTCAGAAGTCGGTGCCACCTCTGAAGCACGGACGTCTGGCTTGTCCTCCATGCTGCCATGGATATATCAACATAGGAGCGGTTGTGATCCTCATGACAGTTAGCTATGTCATTACATACTCTTTACTCCTGGTATCATGTGAATGCAATACTTGTACTGCACCAGTAAGAGGATTTACAGGCTTGTGTCATCTCTGAGACAGAACCTTTATCCACAATGTAGATGCTGAATGTGAATGATGCCTGAACAAAGAAAGAGAGAAAGAAAGGCAGATGAAAGCATCGTCAGGGGAAGACATGTGTTGTATCTTTATCTTTATACTTTTCATACATGCATACAATGTAAAACAAAGTGAAAGCTTCCAGAGAACTGTACGGGAAGCTCCCATAGAGGCCAACAGAGAAATGAGAAAAGCATATTGAATAGTAATTTTCTTTTGCCAGGTGGGCTTACCCAGTTCTCTGTTCATTTAAAGTACTCTTAAACCCACAGCATTTTTTTTTTTATTTTAATACATTGAGCACAATAAAATAAACATTCCCTAGTAAACTAGTATATTTAAAAAAAAACTTGCCACAGCACTTGCAGTTTCAACTCACAATACTGCTGGCTCCTGTTCTCTCTGTGCTGCTTCCCTGAACATCCAGTCTTCACAGGAAAGAGGTAACAGTAGACAGTGCAGTCTGGTGCCAGTTTGTGGAAGGAGAGGTGGAAGGAGAAGCAGGGGAGTGCAAAGCCATCCCAGGCTACAGGACTGTGTGTTTCTAGTCATGCACACAGTGTGGGGAGAGGACGATTCTAACCCCTGCATGCACGGGTGGCCCCATAGGATAGTGAAAGAGAAAGGAGCCACCCTGAAATTGGAGACCTGGGGTAGTGAACATGGCACCAGCTTAAACTGGAATAATTTCTCAAAAATTCGATTCGGCTGATTCGGCGAATTCCAGTGTGAAATTCGATTCGATGCGAATTTCTTCGCTACGAAGATGACTTATAAAAAGGGTTTCTAGGCTTCAGAGAGCCTTTAAATTAGTGCAGAACACTGTACCTTTAATTTAAATGCCCTTGGAGATGAGAAAGAGAAGGAGAAGGAGAAGGAAGGAGAAGAAGAAGGAGAAGGATGAGAAGAAGGAGAAGGAGAAGGAGAGAAGAAGGAGAAGGAGAAGGATGAGAAGAAGGAGAAGGAGAAGGAGAGAAGAAGGAGAAGGAGAAGGATGAGAAGAAGAAGGAGAAGAAGGAGAAGGAGAAGGAGAAGGAGAAGAAGATGAGAGAAGAGAGAGAAGGAGAGAGAAGGAGAAGAGAAGAGAGAAGGAGAGAGGAGAAGGAGAGGATGAGAAGAAGGAGAAGGAGAAGGAGAAGGAGAGAAGAAGGAGAAGGAGAAGGAGAAGGAGAGGAGAAGGAGAGAAGAAGAGAGAAGGAGAGAAGAGAAGGAGAAGGAGAGGAGAAGGAGAAGGAGAGAGAAGGAGAAGGAGAAGAGGAGAAGAAGGAGAAGAGAAGGAGAAGGAGAAGGATGAGAAGAAGGAGAAGGAGAAGGATGAGAAGAAGGAGAAGGATGAGAAGAAGGAGAGAGATGAGAAGAAGAAGAAGAGAGAAGGAGAAGAGGAGAAGGAGATGAGAAGAAGGAGAAGGATGAGAAGAAGGAGAAGGAGAAGGATGAGAAGGATGAGAAGAAGGAGAAGAGAAGGAGAAGGAGAGAAGAAGGAGAAGGAGAAGAAGAAGAGAGAAGGAGAAGAGAAGGAGAGAAGAAGGAGAAGGAGAAGGATGAGAGAAGGAGAAGGAGAGGAAGAGAGAAGGAGAAGAGAAGAAGAGAGAGAAGAAGAGAAGGAGAAGGAGAGAAGAAGGAGAAGAAGAGAAGAAGGAGAAGGAGAAGAAGGAGAAGGAGAAGGAGAAGGAGAAGAAGGAGAGAAGAAGATGAGAAGAAGGAGAAGAAGGAGAAGAGAGGAGAAGGATGAGAGAGGAGGAGAAGGAGAAGGAGGAGAGAAGAGAAGGAGAAGGATGAGAAGAAGGAGAAGGAGAGAAGAAGGAGAGAAGAAGATGAGAGAAGAGAGAAGGAGAGAGAAGGACAGTTCTGTGACAGTTTCTGTCTATTTCTGACAGTTCTGGGACATTCAACAGTTCTGGGGACTGTCCTTCCATACAGCGGTTGAAACATTGTATGTATTTGTTTCCATAAATGGATCCATTTATGGAAACAAATACATACAATGTTTCAACCGCTGTATGGAAGGACAGTCCCAGAACTGTCATTAATAGTCTATTTCTGACAGTTCTATGACATTCCCTCCATACAGCGGTTGAAACAGCTGTATGGAGTGAATGTCCCAGAACTGTCAGAAATAGACTATTTATGACAGTTCTGGGACTGTCCTTCCATACAGCGGTTGAAACATTGTATCTATTTTTTTCCATAAATGACATTCTGCAAATACACTTAGAGGAGCGCTGCAGATACACTTTTTGCCGGCTTGGAATTAATCTTATTTTCATCCTACTTCTTCTTCTTCATCCTCATCCTCATAAGAAGAAAAAGAAGAAGTAGGATGAAAATAAAAATAAGAATAATTCCAAGCCGGCAAAAAGTGTATCTGCAGCGCTCCTCTAAGTGTATCTGCAGAATGTCATTTATGGAAAAAAAAAAATAGATACAATGTTTCAACCGCTGTATGGAGTGAATGTCCCAGAACTGTCATAAATAGTCTATTTCTGACAGTTCTGGGACATTCACTCCATACAGCTGTTTCAAGCTGTATTGTCATAGAACTGTCAGAAATGTATGGACTGGGAATGTCATAGAACTGTCAGAAATAGACTATTAATGACAGTTCTGGGACTGTCCTTCCATACAGCGTTGTTGAAACATTGTATGTATTTGTTTCCATAAATGGATCCATTTATGGAAACAAATACATACAATGTTTCAACCGCTGTATGGAAGGACAGTCCCAGAACTGTCATTAATAGTCTATTTCTGACAGTTCTATGACATTCCCTCCATACAGCGGTTGAAACAGCTGTATGGAGTGAATGTCCCAGAACTGTCAGAAATAGACTATTTATGACAGTTCTGGGACTGTCCTCCATACAGCGGTTGAAACATTGTATCTATTTTTTTCCATAAATGACATTCTGCAAATACACTTAGAGGAGCGCTGCAGATACACTTTTTGCCGGCTTGGAATTAATCTTATTTTCATCCTACTTCTTCTTCTTCATCCTCATCCTCATAAGAAGAAAAAAAAAGAAGAAGTAGGATGAAAATAAGAATAATTCCAAGCCGGCAAAAAGTGTATCTGCAGCGCTCCTCTAAGTGTATCTGCAGAATGTCATTTATGGAAAAAAATAGATACAATGTTTCAACCGCTGTATGGAGTGAATGTCCCAGAACTGTCATAAATAGTCTATTTCTGACAGTTCTGGGACATTCACTCCATACAGCTGTTTCAACCGCTGTATGGAGGGAATGTCATAGAACTGTCAGAAATAGACTATTAATGACAGTTCTGGGACTGTCCTTCCACAGCGGTTGAAACATTGTATCTATTTGTTTCCATAAATGGATCCATTTATGGAAACATACAAATGTTTCAACCGCTGTATGGAAGGACAGTCCCAGAACTGTCATTAATAGTCTATTTCTGACAGTTCTATGACATTCCCTCCATACAGCGGTTGAAACAGCTGTATGGAGTGAATGTCCTGACAGAACTGTCAGAAATAGACTATTTAATGACAGTTCTGGGACTGTCCTTCCATACAGCGGTTGAAACATTGTATGTATTTGTTTCCATAAATGGATCCATTTATGGAAACAAATACATACAATGTTTGCTTCTTCACATGAACAGTGGTTGAAACATCTGTATCCTAAATGTAAACTAATAGATACAATGTTTCAACCGCTAAACATGTGTTCCTTCTGTCAGAGAACTGTCAGAAATAGCGGAGCTCACTGCAGGGACACTTTTGCCGGCTGATCGGGAAATGTTCGATTCGCGCACCCGAAGTAGGCAAAATTTCGGTTTCGCCGCGAATCGAATATTTCCTGAAATTCGACTCGAATTCCGGTTCGCCTTGAAAGCAGTGTGGCCCTGCGGGGCTCCACCCACACAGAGGCGTCATTCATTCACATAGTTCTGTGAGTGCCTACAAGTCCCGGCAGGCTTAGCGGTTGTCGGCTTGTAGTTTTTAATGAACTACCACTGCGCTGTGGAGATCTGTGGTAGTTAATTGAAGCTTCTTGTCAGTATATCTGCTTGACCACACATCCCGTACAGCAAGCAGATATTCTGACAGGTCTGAAGGAGACCTGCATGGCATCAGCGATCTACTGATTACTGGTACAATGCTTTCCAGGCTTCTGCAGACAAAAATAATAAATGCACATTTTTTTACCTGCAAAAAATGTGCATTTATTATTTTTGTCAAAAAGGTGAATATATCCTTTAAGTATTTTCACTTTAAACAGTAAAATGAAATACAAGTAAACAGGGACAAATACAACTAAATAAAAAACGTATTGTACTGGAAGATTTATTGTCTATCCAATACTGTAGCATTGGATTTCCTTATATACACTCAAAAGTTTTGGGACACCCCTCCAAATCATTGGATTCAGGTGTTCCAATCACCTCCATGGCCACAGGTGTATAAAATTAAGCACCTAGGCATGCAGACTGCTTCTACAAACATTTGTGAAAGAATGGGTCACTCTCAGGAGCTCAGTGAATTCAAGTGTGGTACTGTGATAGGTTGACACCTGTGCAATAAGTCCATCCGTTAAATTTCCTTGCTGTTAAATATTCCACAGTCAGCTGTTAGTGGTATTATAACAAAGTGGAAGCAACTGGGAACAACAGTAACTCAGCCACGAAGTATTAGGCCACGTAAAATGACAGAGCAGGGTCAGCGCATGCTGAAGCGCACAGTGCGCAGAAGTCGCCAACTGTCTGCAGAATCAGTAGCTAAAGACCTCCAAACTAAGTGTGGCCTTCAGATTAGTACAACAACAGTGTGTAGAGAGCTTTATGGAGTTGATGCAGCTGCATCCAAGCCTTACATCACCAAGTGCAATGCAAAGTGTCGGATGTAGTGGTGTAAAGCACACCGCCACTGGACTCTAGAGCAGTGGAGATGTGTTCTCTGGAGTGATGAATCATGCTTCTCTGTCTGGCAATCCAATGGACATGCCTGGGTTTAGTGGTTACCAGGAGAACGGTACTTGCCTGACTGCATTGTGCCAAGTGTAAAGTTTGGTGGAGAGGGGATTATGGTGTGGGGTTGTTTTTCAGGGGTTGGGCTTGGCCTCTTAGTTCCAGTGAACAGAAGGAATCAGCATACCAAGACATTTTGGGAAATTTCATGCTCCCAACTCTGTGGGAACAGTTTGGTGATGGCCCCCTCCTGTTCTAACATGACTGCACACCAGTGCACAAAGCAAAGTCCAAAAAGACATGGATGAGTGGGTTTGGGGTGGAGGAAATTGACTGGCTTGCAGTCCTGACCTCAATCCCATAGAACACCTTTGGGATGAATTATAATGGAGACTGCGAGCCAGGCCTTCTCATCAGTGCCTGACCTCTCAAATGTGCTTCTGGAAGAATGTCAAACATTCCCATAGACACACTCCTAAACTTTGTGGACAGCCTTCACTGAAGAGGTGAAGCTTTTATAGCTGGGCCAACCCAATATTGAACCCTACGGACTAAGAATGGGATGCCATTACAGTTCATGTGCGTGTAAAGGCAGGTGTCTCAATACTTTTGGCAGTATAGTGTATCATCTATAGCTATTTCAATGTTACTACAATTTGTTATTTTTGTATTCGTTAATGGTATAACCCAGCTTTCCTGTCTGTTGGGAATAGTTAGTTTAGATAGTCTTCTCTTTTATGTAGCACTATCCCCGCAGGAGATGCATGGTAGATTGGGTTCTATGCTCTCTGACTCTGAGAACAACCTCAGCTCTACTGACACATCAGCTTAAGCAAATGGATACTGCACTATTGGGAGCTGGGAACACAAATATAAATACCCTGCACACAACTAAGGTTCAGTATCAAAAAACAAATATCAGACTGGTTAGTGGTAAATGAACCCAATACATTGTCATGGGTTGCAGTAAATAGCAGCATGTACATAAACAAGTAAGTAAAGGAGTAGGTCAATCACAGTTCAATAGACCAGCCTTTCCAAACCAGGGTGCCCAGGCACCCTGGGGTGCCTTGAGGTTTCTTCGGGGGGTGCTTTGGCAAAATGACTAAACATTGCCCAAAACTTGTATACAAGCCAGCAGGTGGATCAAGCCTGTCTTTTAGTTACACAAAGCCACAGGTTTTCATTGTGCACCATTACGACCTTCTAGCCATTGGAATCCTGACAACCAATGACATCATCATTTGAGAAGGAGGATGTCAGCTGCCTGCACAGCATCCTTGCTTGACCCTCCCCTGCCCCTCTCCATCAGTATTGGGGTCACATTAGATGAGTGATGGAAAAAAACAGAGGGAGAGAAGAAACATTGGAATACTACTTAGTGTGCAAAAGTGTGGAAGAATAAATCACCTCTAATGTCGGGTGTCCTACATGTGTGGATGTTGCTGCGTTATATAAAACTATTAGAATAGTTTTTCACATTTTAGAATGGGGTGCTCTCTTAAAATTATGGACAGTCTGGAGGCATCCCATTTTAGAATGAGGTGCCTCCAGACTATCCATAATTTTAAAGGGTGCCTCAAGACTCTCCAGAATTTTAAAAGGGGCCTTGACTGAAAAAAGGTTGAAAAACACTGCACTAGACAATGGGTGGATTTACTAAAGCTGGTGCACACAGAATATGGTGCAGTTGTGCATAGAAACCAATCATCTTCCAGGTTTTATTGTTAAAGCTTAATTGAACAAGCTGAAGTTAGAAGCTGATTGGTTACTATGCACAGCTGCACCAAAAATGTGTGCACCAGTTTTAGTAAATCTTCCCCAATGTTCACTAGGCTATAGCAGAATAGAATGACGTTCTATGCAGCTAAATTAGACTAAACTAATGCCACCGTAGGTAAGTAGATTGGTCGTGGGTAAGTGGCTGGGAGTACTCACTGGTCTTTGCCAGCCTTGGGTCTCTAAAGCAGATTCTGCTCAAGTCTGTCAAATTCCTCAGCCTTGACAGCCTGGAGCAGCTCCTGGTCCTTCCCCATCCTCTGTGCTGCACCCCAAGAGGGACGACAATCCTGGGCACTGGAGAGGAAAGGCAGAACCTGGTGGAGCTTTGTTGGTCCTCCCATCCCCAGTGTCATTCCCTGGAGAGGAAGAGGATGGGGACACTGGGTCAGATGTGTTCTGCTGGGAGGAGAGCTGGAGAGAACAAGCTGGAAGGAGTTAAGAACACTTTGGGGAGATAAAAATCCGTGGGAGCTCAACCTAGCTGGGCGGAGTCAGGAACAGCGGGGTGAGTCTGGGGGAGGAGCACTGGATGAGTGCAGTGACATTAGGCTGGTCAGTCTGCCCCTAATTAGGGGCCTTGGGATGCCCGGGCCCCCTAAATGTGTATAGGCCGTCCTCCCAGATGGCGGACTTGGCTAGAAAACAGACAGCCAGGCTGCACAGCATCACTGGTTGCTAGGACACTGGCAGCCAGGCCGCACAGCACCATTGGTTAATAGAATGCAAAGCGATAGGCCGACAACCTGCACCATAATATCCAATGATGCTGTGCATCCCAGCTGCCTGCATCCTAGAATCCAATTACACTGTGTGGTCCAGTTGCTTGCATCCTAGTAACTAATGAAATGACAGTGGAGGAGGTTGGAAAGTTGGTTGGAAGTTCTCTAGCTGTCATGTCGCCTCCTTCAGCCACTGTTACCGAACATGTGGCTGTGGCAACTGAACCCAAAGGGTTAGTAATGCCCACAAATTGGGCTTCTATCAGGGAGGAGCTGGAAAGCAAGGAATAAAGAAGCAAATTTCTTCACATTTCAATACCGTTCTATTAGGAGGATAATACACGTATCTAGACATGAATGTATGATTGGTTGTACCTATTTAATGCTCATAAGAGTCCTTCTTTAACACCAACCAAGGGAATGCTGAGAAGTGAGTGGGAAGAAGCTGTGCTCCTTTTCTTCAGAAGATGCTAGAGGACACCTGATAAGGAACAACTTTAGTCACCACTTTTTTGTCTGATTTTAAGTGAGTGTAACAACTTTTTGTGTACCTTCCCATCCTGTGCTTTCCCGCCCTTTCTAAAGCCACCCACCTCCTTTTTAAACTAAATGTTTACCTCTGTTTTTGAATGTTCAAGTTGGTCTGGTGGTGTCACAGGTAATTTCTCAGCTGATGGTTCTTCCCTATAGATATTGCGGAGTTCAAATAATGATGCATGCGCAGGAGCAGACTGACCATTTGGAAACTCGGGCACTGCTCGAGGGCCCAGGGTTAGTAGGGGGCCCCATGAGATGCCACTGGTACCTTTTTCATAGGCTATTTTGAGTTTGGGCAAGGACACAGGGGCCCCATGATCCCCTATTGCCCAGGGGCCCCATGAGTTGTCAGTCCGCCCCTGTGCGTGCGAATACATGTTTTTTTTCCAGGAGTGCTGTGAGCCCCTGCCAGCTTACATGAAGTGGGTTGGAGGATGATGTCCTTCATTCAGCTCATAATCGGGGAATGGGGAGTTAGCAGGAGACAAAGAGGAGATGAGTACTACCGCCAGAGCTTCTTTTCTAAGATGTTGACCAATGAATTTAGACTGCTTTTATAAAAGTTGGAGGTGGGTTTTAATCATGCAGCAACATCAAAAGTCGTCTTTAAAGAACTTCACTCAAAAAGTGTAGTACCTCTGGTTTGCTCCTGTCCCCCATCCTGTAACTGAGCTGGCCTACGCAAGCATGATGCCCCTTGCCCCGCCCCCCTGTTCTCCAGCATCCTCTTGGGACGCATTACATGTCCCAAGAGGCTGCAGAATCATGCACAGTGCACCATGCGATCTTGAGCATACAGAGAGGGGAGCCAGCTGCGGTTCTTCAGGAAGCCAAAGCTGGTTCCAATATCGAAGATAGCGGCACTGGGTACCTATAGAACTGGCTGTGAGACAACAACAGCACTGGACTCCAGACACTAGTAAATACCTAATTTAAAAAAAAAAACAACTGAAAAATGCTGGGGGTGTAGAGATCCAGAGGGCACAATGTTTCATATATTTTGGACCTGCCCAAAGATCTGCCCCTTTTGGACTAAGCTGTGTGAACTGATTCATTACCTTACAGATCTTCCTTTAGAAGATGACTGAGCTGCATGTCCCCTACACCTCAGCACACACTCTCTATGAGGATGTATCGCAAATCCCTTGTAAATCATCTATTCAATTCTGCCAAGTCCTGTATACCATCCAATTGGAAATCAGACCAAACACCACCCATAGATGGCTTAAAGCAGTTAATGATATTAGTACTATGGCAGACCTCACAATGTCCTACCATCAAAAAAAGAGATACCAAAAGACCTGGTTCTATTGGACGCAATTCCAGGGGTTGACCCCATAGTTTACTTTTGACATTTTTTTTTTCTTCCCCCTCCCCCTTTCTTTACTTTCTCACTCTTTTTTTGTTCCATCCTTGAACTATTACTGTTCCAACATTTAACAAACTCTTTTGCGGGGTCCTTTTTTTCAATCTCCCCTGGTGGACTCATAAGTGTCAACTGACCTGATCTCGGGGCATTCTAACCTTTAAGTTATTATGCTTGTATATTGGCTACAGTCAAGTGGCATTATGAAAATGTCACCTAATAGGAACATGTACAGTACTTTGTAACTATGTGATGGTTGACATTCTATATCAACCTGAATAAAAGAATAAAAAAGTGGCAGATGGACTGACTGGCTCATTTCTGGGATTCCAGCAGTTAAAACGTTCATTACATACGTAGCAAGTGACCTAACCCACAACTATTTTTTGTCCTGCTGTACAGTTTGATCTGATTGGCTGCTATGCCTTCCTACAAGTTGGACAATATTACATCAATGACCCATAACTTGTTATGCCTTTTTATCATGTAAAATAAGCAATTAATAATAGCAACAGTGAGAATCACACATAATGGAAGGGTGGGCAAAGCTGGTATCAGAGGGTCAG